AAAAGAAGTTAATTGATCTGCACATTCGGTGTATTCTCTTATATAATCTATTCTTCTAGCCAGGTTCATATCAAACTTTTGTTTGTATTCGATATTATACAAAAGAACATACAAGATCATACTATTAGAATCATGTTTACTAGAGTCTATGAAAATATTTCTGGGCGAACCAGTCCTGATACTGTCTCATATCATACTGTAAACAGATAAATCAGGATCGAAATAAATTACTTGTCTTATAAATTAGGTCAAACTCTTTTTTTTCTAAAACTAGCTCTTATCCTTTATGATACCTTAAAATGAAAACCAATATATATGAAGAATATCTAGATAATCTACAAAAAAGTTTTTTTTTACTTCTTCTAAATAACAGATCTTTGGTTTTAGATGTGCCTACTATGTATGATAATAGCAACACAGCAAAAATCATTTCATGATTGTATAAGTTGATGACAACCATGTTCTAAAGTTGTAATCGATTGTATATAGCAAATAATGGAACATACAGTCTTATATGAAACTTGAACACTTCATTTCTTTTGCAGGATAAAAAATATATTGAGATTAAAAGTCATACAAATGTTTACAGTGCTATTTTATACAAGATTGTAGAAGTCTTTTTGGTACAATGTCAGAGCCTATTCTGAACAATATCACTGCAGGTTAAAAATAAAACGATAGATAATACTGTATCTTACTGAAAAAGTATTTTCTACATGAAGAAAAATAATATTTTATACGATACATTTAAATTAATTGAAATTTATCATCTTTAAAAAAGTAATCGTTTACATAGAAATGGTTCATTATAATATGTAATATATTGACAAGGCACTTACATTTCAATGAAATTATTATTTACATAAAAGAGACTGAATCGTTGAAGAAGCCTACCTTGTTTTGGATGAATGTAAAATAAACTTGCATTTCACGAGAAACGAAATAAAACTAAATTGTATCTAAATATTTACATGCCATTAATAATATGATGATAAATCGGATACAAATTATCCAGTGAAGTTGTTTAATATATTCATGGTACAAAGTCTTGGGCGTAACAAGTTACATCTCTGGTTTTTTTAACACTAACAGCATCATACAAGCTTGTAATATAATACAAAAAAACAGATAAATGTAATCGCTCCTCTTGCGACGAAGATCATTAGCTATTTGCATTTCGCATCGCAACTTTGATGTACTACGTCATTTGTATGGTATATTACAATTAAATAAAATGATATTATCATGGAGTGGCTTTAGGGTAAAAGATGACCCGTATAGGAACGTCTACGGGTCGTAGCATTTTCATCAGAATTCATGTTTTCAGTGATATAATTTTAGTTGATGATGAACAACGGCGGCATGCATTACCGCCTCAAAATGGCTTCTTATATTTAGAGACTCTAGCAGTTCGTCTAAATAAATTCGTTGTTTCTTAAAAAGTGAAATGGCAGTTTATAAAAAATAAGACTTTTTAATGAAGAGTTTTATTTGAAAAAATCCATTAACCAGTTGTAATATATTGTTAATGTTTTTGCCTTGAACTTTCTAAAAAGTATTGTCGATACTATCATTAAATTAAGAAGATATGTTATCGGTAGAAAACAATGATTTGAATTTTAAAATAATCATATTAATTCGTTCTATTTTACAATTTTCCAGAACGAATGTATCTATTTCATTTCATTCATATAACTGAATATAAAAGAATCGATCTATGATATTCTGATATCTAAATATTGCATCCTGTTATTCAACCTCTATCACTATTTTCGAAATATCAATGTAAATTATTATAAATTATATATTTATATTCTCTTTTCAACATGATTGGTTACGTGCGACATCTATGATGAAATAATGTTCATTTAGAAAGTTTTTTTCTATTGAAATTATGAGATAGACATGATTGAATATCAAGAAAACACCATTTACATCGATTCTTCATTACAAAATGTAATTTCTCCAACAAATAATTATATTCGAGAAGTCTAAAGGGCTTTTACATCTCAAGATGGCTGCCTGTGTGGTAGAAAAAATAAGTCGACAAGTTTACTATTTTTATCCAACGATTGTTGTTTTTTTTTTTGTCAATATTTCTTGTCATTTATTTTAGATTTTGTTTAAATTCTTAACAAAAGCAGCCTTTATCAATGCTTCGTGCAGCTCGTTTGCCCCATTCACAATCAGGGGCATTGAACTTCGTGCTAATTGCTAAGCGGTGGCAACAAACATCTGGTTCTGGTACAACTGCTTCCAACAAATCGATTCCCAGTTCAAATAAAACTCAAAATGCAGCTAATACTCCTTCGTCAACATCAAAGACGCAAACAACTTCGACAAAACCATCTGTTAATACGCCACTCGATCGAACGAATATTCCATATAAAACAACAACAACTACAACATCATATATTCCTCCTTCTTCATCCAAAACAAGTCCACCTCCTAATCGTAAAACTAGTAGTGGTGGTAGCATGGTGAAGGCAATTGTTTACGGAGTTACTCTTGGTCTTACTGCTACATTAGTCTATGCTGAATATGAAAATGGCTCGTTTCGTCGACAACTCGAATCAACTATTCCATATAGTTCAACAATCTTAGGTGGTCTTGATCAATTTATCGATCCTATTTTTGGTCGACAGAAAGCTTTAACAACAGAAATATCGGAAAAAATGCCCGATCTAGCCTATGTAAAGGAAAAAATAGCCGACAAAGACAAAACTAAAACACTCGGTGAACAGATTAAAGATACTACTAATAGTGTATTGGAAAAATTACCCGATAAAGCTCAAATCCAAAAAACTGGTGCACAAGTAAAAGATGCTGTCAGTCATGCCTTTGAAAAATTAACAGATCATAAATCAGCTAAAGATACTCCTGGTCATGCTGCTGATCAGGTACCATTTCTATTTTTTTTTTAAACTACGTAAAAAATCTTAAAGTAAACGCTTTTTTTGTTCATTATTAGATTAAAGATGCAACTGATACTGCTCGTGATGCATTGCCCAGTACAACATTAAAAACGAATTTAACACATGCTAAAGAAAAAATTCAAGATGCGGCCCACACAGTTAAAGAAACTGTCAAAGATGCTTTACCATTAGCTAAAGGTCAATCAGGTGAACCATCTGGCAAAATTGGTGATCCTGTATTTTTAGAAGAACCTGGTGAAATATTGGTACCACCACCAATACCTCAAGATAAATATAAACAGTAAGTTTAGTTTAAATTCAATATTTTTTGTCGAAAATCAAATAGAATTTATTATTGTACATTTACAAATCAGTTTCTTATTTTATTACATATATATCTTCGACGATATCTTGTTCATATCTATTTTTTGTAGACTTGAAGAAGAAATCACTCAATTAGTTGCACCTTTATCAAAACAAATTGATGATGCTTTAAAAGCTGCACAAGAACATATTTCACATATGAAAACTATAATTGATAATCCACATATATCAACATCAGATCATGAAACATGGAAACGTGCTGAACATTTACAAGAACAAGCTAAAAATGCATATGACAAAGTAACTAATACTGTTCGTGAATGGAAAAATAAATTAACTGAATATACAACAGCAAAAAATGGTGAAATACATCCACATGAAAAAAAACTTGATGAAAAATATCAAGAATTACAAAAACAATATACAACATCAACATTTGTTAAAAATTTTCGTACATATATTGATGAAGCAACAAAATCATTTCAAAAAGAAATTGAAACAATGTTTCCAAGTGTAGCTAGCAAAAGTCCTTCACAATTAACTCATGAAGATTTACAAGCATTATTAGTACATGCACATCGTCGTATTGTTAAACTTCAAAATGATATAGCACGTATGCGTATAAATGAATCAGATTCAATAAAAGCAGCTGTTGATGTAGCACGTGCTGATATTGATCGTCTTGTTGAACAACGTGCTCAAGATCGTGTAGAAAAAACAACTGAACAATTAACTGAAGAAATAAAATCATATGAAAAAAATCTTCGTCAACAATTTGATGACCAATTACGATATGAAATTGTTTTACAACATCAAGCATTAACGCAATATTTAGCTGATGTTTTATCACGACAATATCAAGAATGGGCTAAGGAATATGAAAAACAATTAGAAAATGAATCAATAAAAATAAATTTAAATTTACAAAATCAATTACGAGAAACATTAGATCGTTTATATGCTATTGAACATGCTATTGAAGCTAACCATGATAGTCAACAACGAGGTAGACAAGCACAACAATTATGGATACAAGCACAAAATATTCTTAATCAAATTGTTCATGGTAGAACAACTGATAATGATATTGATATTGTATCAAAAATAGTACCAAATGAAAAATTTGTTCAAATACTTGTTAATGAATTACGCAATGGTGATTCACCAACAACAAATGAAAAAATTTTACGCGAACGTTTCACACATGTTAATAAATTATGTCGTCGTTTAGCATTAGTTGATAATGAACATAATTCATTATGGAATTATTTTCTATCATATTTACAAAGTTTATTAATTGTACGACAACGTGATGATTCAATATTAACTGATGATTCTATTGATTTTAATCGATTAAATACATTTACTATCTTAAATTATGTTCAATCGTATTTAGATCAAAATCAATGGTATAATGCATTACGTTTAATGCAATTATTAACAGGTGAACCACGTAATGTTGCACAATCATGGATTAATGATACAAGAAATTATTTATCAAAAAGACAAACATCAGAATTACTTGAAGCTTATTCAAATTCAATTGGACTTGGTACATTACCAAGAACGGCTTAGACAATATTACTACTGAATCATTCACCCATTTTTTTTTCTGTCCTTTGTCTTTTGCATCTTAGTCCACGTATAATTTATATATGTTTAGAAAAAAAACCAAACTAAGAAAGAAAGAAAAACGAACGTTAATAAATTAGATTTTAATTCATTTTTGTTTTTCTTTATTTTAGTTAATAAAAACTAATAATGAATCGTGCGATTATTAAACTTTTTTCATCATCATCTCGTATTCTACCAAGAATTTATGCATCTACAACAACATCGGCGACTACACCAACAGGACATCATGGTTCCGGAAATGTTCATCATCATGATGATCATGGTCATGACCATCACCATCATGAACCAGAATTAAGAAAAACACAAGCATGGCGTCATCATTCAGGAATTCAATCGAAATATGAAAATCAAGCAGATGATCCCAGTATAACTTTCATGGCAGGTAAACTGAATCATATGAAGATTATGCATGTTACTGGTTCGAAAATGTAACTATGCACATATTCGTTTCATTATTTTAATAGATTTTTTTTTATTTTTCTAAGCTCTTGGATACTAGAATATATTTATCAAGTCTGACAATATTCTGTATCAATAGATTTAAGTTTTTCATTCAACTAGTTATTAAAATCGTTTACTTAGTAGTAAAACTCCTAAGAATTAATTCACTGAACAAAACATTTTAATTAGTTAATTTTTTTTTATTTTGTAGAACGACCAAACTATCATGATTATCGTCCTTCTTTGGGACAAGTTTCGCTTTCTCTGCCTTATCGAACACAAGTATCTCTTCATGAAATGTGGCTTTATCATGCTGCTTTAATCTTTTCTATTTGGTTTTGGTTGTATGTTTCATGGCGTTTTATTAAAGAACCGAATTGGTTCTTCGGTCATGCTCATTATCCTGATATGTCAAAATTTACTGATGAAGAATTGGGTATTCCACCAGATGATCTTGATTAGTGAAAAAACATACTATACTGTAGCTGTTATTTTCTTTTCTTAAATTTTTCTTCTCAAATGATGTCATACTTTCTCTTTGTACTTTTCCCTTGTCCTTTTTGGTTTTACGACAAATGGCGCGATTTTGGTTTTCTCCTACTTTATATCCAATCAAACTGTTCTAGCATTGCTGTATTTCTATTACAAAAGAAGAAAAACAAAAATTCAACAAATTTTATTATTTCTATTCGTTTAGATGTAAAATATTAGTCGAGTTGATCCAAACAAACGATATGTAGGTTCGAATCCTAATCACTGTCCTTTTAAACGGAAACAATATTCTATTAAATTCTATGCGTGCATACCCGATGATGAGAATTTACGATAAAAATGAAAAACTTCTTGATTATTAAAATCGATTAGTCTTCCTGAGGGATATTGCCGCACACAATTCATTTTAATTAAACCTATAGAATAAAAAAAATTCGTTTTTCAAATTGAAATTTAATTTTCTTTTCAGATTTGAAATAGAATTTTCATGGCTCAACAAGTTGGTCGATCGGCGGCAACTGCATCTCGTTATGCTGGAGCGAAAATTGATTGGAGTCGTCTATTCAAATTAAGCGGTTCCAATACAACAACTGTATCTAATCTTCAAGCTAAATGGAGTCAAGCTGCTGCCAAGTAAGTTAAGAATTTTATTTTTTGTTTTGTATTTATATATCTGTGAAAATTCTTTCAATTTGTTTTCTAGAATGAACACTTTATCGGATGGATTACCTAAGATTGATTTCGATTATTATCGAAAAATGGTATCAGATCCAACACTTGTTGATAAACTTCAAAAAGAAGTAAGAATTAATGGTTCTTTTTAAATATTTTGATTAACGTATTTTTTTTAGTATGAAAATGCGCAAATTGCCTATCCAAAAGATACGGCTAATCGTTTTAAAGAACTTGAAGAATATGCTAAAAGCGAAGTAACAAGATATATGCATTTTTATGCTGTTTTATTTTCTATATAATTACCATAATGATTTGTTTAGGAAAAACGTGCCCAAGAATTTATTAAATTAGCCGATGGTGAAGTAGAAAAATTACGTAAAGAATTTGATCGATGGGATAATGTACCTCCAGCTGATGAAGTTACGTATGAATTAGGTATGTTGATATGAAATTCTATTCGAATGTTTTATTTTTTCTTTTGGTTTAGCTTCTTTTTACATGCCTGAAGCTGTCTATCCTCGTGTTTGGAATAAGGATGAATTTGATAAATTAAAAGATATTCAATTTTTACCTTATGAAAAACGAGATTCATTACGTTGGTGGGTCGAACAAGGTGGTGAATTATTACCACATAAACATGAATGGGTTATGCCAGATGAAGCACTTGATCCTATTGATGCCCCTCCACGACCGAAAACAGAACTTACTGATCAAGGACATGGCGACACCAAGAAAATAACTGCTGGTGCTAAACATTAATGAATCCCATTGATTATTCGGCTCCCTTATCTTTTTTCATTTTTTTTGCTCTATTAGGTTTCAGCCCAAATAAAATGTCTATAAGAAAAGAACACAAAAGTTTAGTTGAATCGAAAATTTACAAAAAAAAAAGACGTATGTGTGTTCAATTTTATATGAGACAGTTTAGAGAGTTTATTGCGTGTTCTTTTTGATTCAAATAAACTAAACTAACTTGTGATACTGATATTTAATTAATGAATTTCACAATAATAATAGGACTTATTTCGGCAATTACTTGGAATCAATAAATAAAGATTTCCAATGTGATAGTAAAAAGTTTTAGTTTAAAAGCATTACAGAATTAGTAGAACTATGATGAATTATCGATGCCAAACACTGATACCCTATTAACAAATTGCATAAGATTTTCTCTAATCGAAAAAATTCATAAGCTCATATAATGTATTTGAGATCTGACTTTATTCTTCATTAAGATCATTCTGTTCATTGTTTTCATCAAAAAGAAATAAATCTCTAATGTCATAACAGTTGTATCATTTATTTGCATATTATTTCTGTTTACAAAAATAAACGGCTCCGTAATATCGATGCTAGCCATATCGATCTGTACTGTTCTCTTTTATTCATATACTTCATTTATTATATTCGCAAGTTTCTTACCGATAATTATCATTTTTACTATCAGCATTCGATTCTTTTGCGTTTTTTTTTCGAATACAGAAAGTGGCTATTAATTGATGCAATTCTGTTCAAGCTATTGACAATATGAGAATATCTATTGTTTATCCTAAATCATGCCTGGGTTATAGATAAAAATAAGCAATCTAGAAAGTTGCTGATCAATAGCTAATGTTGATACTAACGAGTATTTAAAAGATTCAAATAGTTTAATGTACTAAATTAAGTATACAGAAAATTAATTATTGGTATCATCGTTTTTTCGTTTCACTTCCGCACTGAAGCATTTTCTCAACTTGATCAATCAGCAGAACAATTTGGCACATGTTCGTTAACAAGAAATCTACATTTTAATGCGTTGATGATAATCAATGGTAAATCTCGAAGTCAACACTGTTGTCAAATAACTGGATGGCACTTGCTTAATTTCTTTTTCAAATCTTTCTCATCTTAATTTTATATAATTTATGCAAAGTGACTTTTTCTAGTAATTCATCCTCGACTACTATTACTAGCATTAGTATCAATAATAAAATCTCTACAGTTTTAAGCAACAATCCATTGCCTTCATTCATGACTTACTCATCGATATAATGGGAGTACATCTATGTTAACTGTAACCTTTTTTGTAGAAAAAAAGAAATATGTATGAAAAATATTTTGAACCTTGACAAAGCATTTTATATTTATGATTTTGTAGTATGTTTCAAGTAGTATATTCCTTGTTTATGATATTATCCTTAGTTAATCGTCTCATTTAATTATTGAATCGATTAGTCTTAGCACTAATTCGAATTGTGTACAAGAATTTGCTGTCACTTAATATCATCTTCGTATTAACAAAACATGTGTTCGTTTTTATAAATGTTAATAGAACAGAACAATCAGTTTTCAATTCTATAGACAATATTCTTATAAGAAATGCTCATACAATATGATTAGTGATTTTTAGTTTTTATTTGATAAAACAGTAATGAAGAAATGCATCAATAATCATTTCTGGTCAAAATCGAAATACGGCAACTTAATACTATTTGCACAGCATGTGGTAAAATCAGTTTTATAAGCCAATCAGCTAAGTACAGCTGTCTTTGTGCTGCAGTAGATATCTGCCATCAATCACAATAACATTGTTCATCTTCTTGTTTTGTTTTAACATGTTCACATAATATAAAGAAAACAATATATGTTTTGAAACTTTTGTAAAGAAACCTGTAATGGTTTTTCTAGGAACTAACACTTGATTCTGTCAATAAAATAACTATTTTTTGGGTTTGTTGAAACATTAACTCACATCTATGATAGAAACAATCAGCAAAAAATACACTTATAATAACAAAAGAATATCATTTTAACTATTTTTCAAATGTAACTTGTCTTGTTTGGGTTCACAAATGCTATGATAAAACAGCAAAGCAATGATATGTTTGAAGAATTTATACTTCACATTAATAGACTGACATCTAAACGATAATTAAAATTCTTAAAATAATAAATAAGTCATTATATATATATAGAAATTTAATATTCAAAAAACAAAATTCGGTGATCTTTTTTATAGCAAAACGTTAAATTTTTTATCAAATAGATATTAATCAGAAAATTTTTTATTATACGATATTATTGAGTCCATTTTCTAATTCATATTAAACAATCAAAATTAGCATCTGTCCTCTTTTTAAAACCATGTATGAATGTATTAAATGTATACAAAATAGAAGGTAATTAGTCTATATGAGAAATTGATGTGCTTAAATATATAAAGTTGCATTATCCATTGCATTTTATGTTTATTTAAATCATTCATTTTGTGAACATGCCTGTTTTTTCAAAAAAGATAAATATGTTTCAATAGGTGTCTCATCGATATATGAAGACTAATCGTCTAAAAATTCTGAAAATCTTAAATAAAATATTTTTTTCTCCATTTTTTTATTATTTCTTGTGTTGAAAATACTTTTCCACGTTTATATCGCTATTGATAGTATTTAACTATGTCTATTTATAAGAATGATTAAACACACAAAAGAAAAACATCAAACGAAAAAACTTAATCATATATAACTTGCAATGAATAAAAATAAACTTTTGTTGTTCATCCGAGACATGTCAAACAACGAAGGTTATTGTTACTTCAAAGGATATATGATAAGATATCTAGTTGATAATATGATGAATTTCCAATATCTTTCATTATTTATTATTATGAACTACTATAATATAAAAATGAATAATAATATTCTCAATTCTAAACTAATCATAAAATCTATAAACTAATATGTAGTTCTATTCTATATCAATATTGAAACATGATGTTTATGAATAAGAGTACAACTATTTTATATGTATATTTGTCTAAAGATAATACTTGAGTCATCATATATTGATCGAATACACTGAAAGCGATAATTTATATATTTCGTTTTTTCTTTTATTTTATTGACCAAAATATTCACTCGTATTAAGCTTCCTTAAAAAAGTCATTTGTCGTCAAAAAAAATTAAAATTAAAACAAAGGCATGGCAAGATAACGTGAGGCGTAATCTTTTATAAATGATGTGATTTTTTATTCGACATCTTCTTTTTGATCAAAATTTTTTCATGATTTCTGTCATCATTTGTTTGAAAAAAAAAGGTATTTTTAGAAAAAGCAGGAAAAGTTCTTTCGTTTTTTTCTTTTTTGATCGCACGATCACGATCCATAATTTTTTGTAGACTCTCATTCTATTCCTTTTTTTTTAAATTAAGCTTTGTTTTTATTGTATATACAAATACTTATATCAATAGACATCCTTCTCCAAATATGTGGCGACTCGAATGTACTTGACGTGTATTCAATTTCTGAGAGAAAAGCCTTAAAAATATAAATACAAACAATGTCATTAAATTAAACTTTATCGATGGTATTTCTCACATTCTAAACGTACTATATAACAAAGTATAACTTAAACTAGAATGTCTTCAACTTTTTGTTTTTAGCAATTTCTTATTAAAGTCTAATCTTTTGACATAGATAGAATTCGTTCCGGAACATTTTTCTTTGATTTGATACATAATAATACTTATTTTATGGTCAATTAATTGACTGAATAGAACAAGTTTGACAACACGATATTGAGTGTATATACATTTATCTATACACATATCGAATTTACACATTTGTTAAAAGTTGATCTATTTGTCTTAAATTACAATGACAATTATCGCTATAAGGCAGTATCAATCACATTCGGGAATCATTTATACTGAACATGTCATCTCTGTTTTTCATCAATAATAAATCTTTGCTCTTCTTATATTACCAATTGTATGTCTCGTCGACTGAATTATACGTATATGGATGATTTATTCTGTTTCTATATACAACGTATACAATCAGAACATACACAAAGATGAACAAGTGAGATCTCGTGAGAGATAATATAACATGACAAACCATAGTTCACTTTTTTAACTTCACCTTAACTGTCCCTATGGTTCCTCGAGAAATACAATATTTCATATCCGGAACTTGTCATACGTCTCATTACTATTAAGTAATTCTCATACATTCACCGACTGCCTATAAGGCAGATGGCCTCATTTAAAGCAATTAAAAGTTATGCGCAATGTGTCACTGTGTTAAATCCATTAATGGAAAGAGAAAAAGAAAAAAGAACGAAGAAAGGTAACAACATTATTCATTCACTAGATCAAAAAGACATATGTTCGCAATGATAACAATCTTATTCATTTATATATATGTGCACAAAGTCAGGTAAATCAAAGTGTTGTCATCGGTCTTCATTTGTTCTTTTCATTATTTTTATGACAAACAAATTTTGTAACTGTATTGTACATCTATACAAAGAAAGTCATTGTTATAATGGCAACATGTGTTGACAACACTAATGAAAGGGAAAAGTTGAAAAAAAATCAATAGTTCCATTTGAACTTTTTCGATTGATGACAGTAAAGAGTCCTTCATGATTGAAACTTGAAAAATGATGTAAATGTGCAGAGAGTGTATATGTACATACATATGTGTATGTGTATGTCAATCAGTTAGTTGTCCATCAAGTAGACACATTGAAAATGAGAATAAGACGAAGAAATGGAAAGGAAACCTTTTTTATTTGTTGTGCTCTTTGCATCGTCATCAGAGAGAGAGAGAGAGAGAACGAGGAAAAAAATAAGAAAAAAAATCAATTATTGAACATTGAGCAGAATGATTGACACAATCAACGATGAGAAAGATAAATGAACATAGAATAGGATCTTGATTTTTTCTTTATTTTATTTTAGAGATCATCCACGACATTTAAAAATACAAAAGAACAAATCAATATGAAAAGGTTGTTTGTAGATTAAACCAGTCACGAAATGAGAATGATGATGGTGACTTTTATTTTTAGATGATACTTAATCGTCTACATTGATTGAGTCATGTGGAATAATCGATCATGTTATCACAATTTTTCATTGTACTTATATTAGGTTTTACTTCTTTCAATATTATTCAAAGTATTGAATTTGGATGTGAATACAATTCAACAACTTATCCGGTAGTGATATACATAAATAAATAAATAATTTTTTGTTTTGTTTTTATTTATTTAAGATTGATACTGAATGGACATTATCTGAATCTTGTCAAACATGTAAATGTTTATCAAATAAAATTATTATTTGTCGAAATCGAACATGTCAAATGCCAAAAGATTGTCGAATGGTAAAATTAATTAGAAATTAAACAAATAGAATTAAAAGAAAATTTTTCTAGGGTGAACAATTAACATTAAAACCAGGTAGTTGTTGTCCAACATGTTCACCTATTCGACGTTCTTGTCTCTATGATAGTACTGCAATACTTGTATGTTATCAATTATTTTTTCGTATTTAACAAATGACTTTTTAACCTTTTATCTATATAGCACAATACTATATTCTATCCTAAATCATGTCTTCAATGTCGTTGTCGAGATGGTCAACTGTTTTGTGATGATATTTGCCATCAATCAATCTTACAAAGTATGTATTTATTGGATTGAGATTGGTTTTTTTGTAGAAAAGAATAAAAGTTTTTATCTTGTTTGATGAATATTTGAATGTTGAGACATATAGTCGAAGAGATCTTAGATCTATAGTTGTCTCAGAGATATATATATGTATCACTAATAGCATTACTCTTATATATTTAATAGTATAAGATTCATTCAAAAACTACTTACTTTGAAAAAACAGAAAAATATTGACAGCTATTAGTAGTATCGAACCACTTAGCTAGATATTAATGGACAATAATATGGATGAGTACCTATTCATGAAGTTAGAGTGTTTATGTTGCAAAAAGTATACTACACATTTTGAACGATGTATTGATTATTTTTGAATAAGTATGTTGAATATGATAACATTATAAAATTTAAAAATTGTTTGATATTTTTTGTTGTCAATAACATTTATCTGAAAAAAAAAACCTTTTTTTTGGTAATTTTAATAGATAAATGTTCATTTGATAATGAACTACGTGAAATAA